TTTTGAATTTAAGAATCTGATATTCAACAAAGTCACACATACACATCATCAGATACATATCATACTAAAAATGTAATATGATATACTTTCAGAGGTTCTATATTTATTAAGTTTAATACTCAAAAGAAAGGAAAGGTTTGCATTAAGAAAATTACATGAACTAGAAATTACTAGCACTAAAAGCAAGGGTGGCTATGTTGTAAAAATGGCCATAAATTCTCATTTCTCCACTCATTTCCTTGAGATACGGTGTTACAAATCTTCCCTTCAAGAGAGAGCTTCTTAGAGCATGACCATAGTAAGCTCACTGGAGAGGAACTTGCCAGAAATGTTTGACATTAAGTAGTGATGAATGTCATTGGAGGTCCATTCCAGGCAGAATGGAGGGCCTCCTGAACACCTACCTCGCCAACCCCACCCCTCCCCCGGCAGAACCAGGCTCTGGTGCAAGTCCTACGTTAGACCAGGGGCTTTCAATCTTGGCATTATTGATACTGTGGGTCAGATCATTCTTGCTATGTAGTGCTGTTTCATGTGCTGTAGGATGTTGTGGGCATCCCTGACCTCTACCCATTAAATGCCAGTAACTCCCCTTTGCTCCCCTGTTGTGACAACCAAAAGTGTCTTAAGATATTGCCGAATGTCACCTGGGGAGAAAACCATCTCCAGTCAAAGATCATTGCTCTACACTCACCCCAACATAGCCTAAAACTAAGCCTGGACAAGATCTGCAGGGGAGACAGATTTTGGAGGTTGGGTCCTGCCAAGTTAGAGGTGCCTAGGAGAGATCTTTGGTTTCCACATGTCCTGTATAATAAAGCATAAAACCAAACCTACCCAGTATAAAGGATATAGCCAGTAAATGAACTGCCTTCTAGAATAAGAATCAGTGTCCTTTAGAGGGAAGGAAACAGAATCCAGAGACTATAATGCATCACTAACAATGTCCAGTGCACAGTAAAATAATTATATCAAACATGCAAAGAAACAGGGAAATAGGGCCTATAGTCAGACAAACAAGCAATAGTAAACAGAAACAGAATGTGATATGACTCAAATGTTGGATTTACCAAGGATTTTAAAGCAAGTAAAGGACAATGGATGTTAAGAGAATTAAAAGAAAAGGTAGTCTGATTGAGTCAACAGATAAGGAATCACAGCAGAGAAATCAAAACCAAAAAAAGAACCAAATGGGAAACCTAAAATAGAAAAGTATTGTAACTGAGGTGAAAAATTCATTGGATAGGCTTCACAGCAGATGGGAGATGATAAAGGAAAGATAAAGGAACAGAACTTCAGGAACCCATGGATAATATCAACTGGTCTGATACATGTGTTATAGGAGTCCCAGAAAGAGAAGAAAGTGAGGATGAGGCAGG